CTTTTGCATAGTTCCCCTTGTGAAATGTAGCAAAACGCAGCGGTAGACTTTGACCCCGTAACCAATTCCGATATACCCCCGGACCTACCGTATCATCAGTATCCTCCACTTTTCCGTCCTCAGCCATGCCCACCAGGTTGTTACCACTCAAGGAGCGTAGACTTTGCAGATTGATCTGAACCTCAGCTGAACTATAGTCTAAACTCGCTAAAGGAGTATGATAGGGGCTATTCAGGGGGATGCTAGGAGTTTAGACTATAGCTCAGCTCATGAAAGCTCCCACCCGTGGGTCTAGGGTTTAGGGTTTGGGGTTCAGGGGGCAGGGTTCTTGAACGGCGGGTTCGGAAAAAAAAAATGGGCTCTCAGGGACCCTACGGATGCCATGGAGGTTACAAACGGATCATGGGCGTTCCTCTATTACTGTACACTCACTTCGGATGCCTTGAACAGCAAGGCAGGACTGGATTCAAGACCCGGCGTCTTCGACCTGACTTTGGAAACACCCCAGCCATCCTAGGCCTGTGCATTTCAAGGTATGTTGAAATGCAAGTTGGATTCCAACTCACTGCCATGTCGAAGGAACCCTTGAGACGGCCAGGTTCTGGAAGACTCCAAGTCTGAGAAATGAGTTCCAGCCAGATCTGCACAACCCAGCCAAGTATGATGAAATCCGGCAGCCCCGGGGCTGGATCGTATGACTGCTATGTTTCACTGGGGCTGTGGCAGGCTCATCCGCACGTGGCCGGCTAAATGCTGCAACAGAAGCTGCCTCGAAATCGTTCCGTTCATTTCCACCGCAGGGAGGAAAAACACCAGTGACCCTACGGAACATAAAGACATCAAGCAAGGGCATGCGATGCCCACGAGTTCCTGTGCAAGTTTCAAACCGAGTGCCCTGCTTCAGCCTGCTGCTCCTCACCGAGGAGCTGATGTTCACTATGCTGCGGCTGCTCATAAGACTCATAAGGTACTTCAAGGAATCCACGCTTTTAAGACTGTTTGCTTTCTTTTCGGCTTCTCCTCCATTTATCTAATCCCAGCCAAAATCAATCACCCTGAAAATCGAGCCAGTTGACCTAAAGCCGTTCAAAACATACACGTAAAGTCTACCTGCGCATGCTTGCTTCAGCTTCTTTCCTCGGCTCTGCAGATCTCAGGCTCAGGTTTGGTGTTCCATCATCTTGCTTAAAAGGGGCAGGGCAACCCGAAATCCACGGCCAGCACCCATCCTCCGTATCCTGACCACCCAGGGAACACAGGCGTCCGGCGGCAGAGGCAACCTCATCAGAACAAGCCGGTGATTGAAATCTATAATTCGGTATATATTGAGGTTATGTAGTGGTTATATTGAGATAATGGAAAAGAAAATGGAAACTACTATAGTGGGTTATGTAGGGTTTTTATTAGGGTTATATTGAGGTTATAGGCTGAACTGCCTGTTTTGTGTCCTACTTATGGCGCTTGCTAAGCACAAACCATCCCTCGCTGGTGGTTGACTTCCGACAGCTACTAATGCTTCTGCTAAGCTGGCCACTGAACGCAGCGGTTTGGGCTGTGGACCAGGCGGATCTTGGACCTCAGCCGGGGGGTATTCTGTCGTGTCTCAAATTCATGCGGATTGAGAGGTAGCAAATGTAGCAACAGCATAACTCTTTGCATGCTCAACTTGCAATATGTTGAGGGACAATCTCACGCGCTGCCAAGCCCGCTGAGCCCGCAGCTCCAAGCAGCCGCCCTGCACTGCAGGAAAGTTTGAAACATGTCTGCACAATCGACTCTGCTCAGATATGGAATCATTAACCCGTCAAATACAGACTGGCCTAGATCTAGTGGCAGGTAGCGGTCCGATAGCTCCGCGGTCGAGTCCTTGCAAGGCTCAAGCTGTCAATAAGCTTCACTGGGGCTCCCAGCTCAGGCTACAAGTAAGTTGGTCTGCGAAAGTAATCGTCACCTCGCTCGCATCTCTCTGATCAATGTGGTCACAGATCCCGTTTCGTCTTTTCAGCACAGCCCAGCCAAGCAAGCGAACACTGCGTGAACAGCGAGTTGCATCTGAAAGACAGAGGAGTTCAAGTCTGCCTGTAAGCGACTCGATTTGTAGCTTTCTCGCATGCACCCACAGCTCCGCTGAAGCTGATCTCGTTAGGTGCTGCTCGCATGGCATCCATCCGGTACAATACATCCAGCGCCCGTCCCCAACGGCCGCGCTTTTCCAGGGCACTGATCGCACTGCTGTAGCTGAGAACGTTGGGTGGGACACCTTCTGCCACCATTCCAAGAAGTACGTCCAAAGCCTCTGCCCACCTCTCAGAGTCTTCGCACGCACTGATGGCACCTCATCAAGATTGCTTGCGTCGCTTGAAAGAAAATAGACACGCAATGTTGCTGGAACCAAAGGATTGGAAGGGGTCAGCCAGCAGACTAGAACCTGGAACAGAGCGCTTTAAGATGTTGAAAGACATTAGATGTTGAAAGACGTGGTGACCACACTCCGTCCAAGTATGGTACAGCGGCCAGGTGCCCCTCAATCTACCCCGGTACTCCCAAAATGTCTTCTCTGTGCGACCGGAACACTGCTGCAGGCAATGACCTTGGGCGTTATGGCTGAGCTTCGCATCGCACGCAAGCTGGCGCCTGCATAGCGCCACCTGCCGAGGCGTTCAGCAGCAACGAGCAAGCAGGAGTGAGTAATGATGTTCTCCTTGGTTGGTTTCTGCAAGGCCATCAAGCAACGGTTTTCCAAGGAAAATACCTTTCAAGATCTTTCAAGTATGACGCACTGACACCACAAGCACCAGCACTCCGAGCATCAACCTGGCGACGCTCGCGCATTCTCTGGAAGAGGCGTACCGCAACTCTCCACTTCTCTGATTGGCCACAAACATTCATCGCGGAGTTATGGCCTTCACAAGGCGGTTCCAGCACTACATGACTAATTGACTACATGATGATGTGGTGCAAATATCAAACCAACGCGAACACCAGTTTCTGGTTGTGCCAAGTGACACACAGTCTCTGAAGAGCCATATGGGCCACCAGCAACAAGCAGTTGCAAGGCAGCTGCCCAGAGGGCTTGCTTCGTGCAAGCAGCAATGGCACTACCGAACACCACAATGGGGAGAGGAAGTGCGACACAGCGCATGAGCGTCATAGTGTGAAACGCGTGCTCCCAAACGTCCTCGCATTACCATCACACTGCTGCTTTGTATAGTGGGCGTTCCCTGTGCTTAGGTGCTTTCGCATTGTAAGAGGGGGCAGCGGCTCGGATGGGAAAGTTCTTTTGACCGACACGGAAGCACATCTTTTGGGGCTCATGCAGGACTGCATCATCTCCATCAAGAAGGAACAACCCAACCAGGTTAGTAGCTGACAGAGCTTGCGAAGCACTCTTCTTAGAAGCTTGTGACCTGGTAAAGACAGGATTGTCATGCCGGCAATACCATACACGAGAAACAGCTAGTAGAAGCCCGCAGCTATGGCTATGCCTGTGCCATGAGCAGAACAAGAAGACATGCAACCCATTCAGAAAGACTACTCACTGATCATGGTGGCCATGCAGATAAGTGCAGAACATGTGGTCAATACCTAGGATTTATGGAACCCCGAAGTCCTCACACAGCTTCATGATCGTACCGAAGGACACTGCGCTCGGACGCAAAGAAGACTTGCGCATGCGAGGAAGGTTTCCCAAGGCCCACTTCCACCCGCTGCTATCCAAGCAGTTCGCTGCCTTTCAGTTCACAAAGCATCAAAGGATTCTCCCCTAGAACGTGTGCACGACTGCTGCAACGTGAGTGTTGCGAGCTTGACACTAGGTTATCAGCATCAAGCCACTGTGTTATAGCTGATCGCATCCGGCAGGAGAGCAGCCGAATGCAACGCTTGCATGGAAGCCACTGACCTTTGCTTCTGCAGCTTCATTCTTCAAAGCTCCACCCAACCCACTGAGTGGTCTTCAATGGACGATAGGTTACGTGGTGCTCGGGACTATCTGCCACGACAATGCTACACTGCAACTCAGCCGCATTCTCCAATCATCGAAACCACATGCACGGCCAACTGCATTGCAAGTAATCACGTCCTGTTTGGCTGCTGAACCAGTACTACTACACTACTTCAACATGTGTAGCCGCCTACAATACAACTAAAGGCTATGCAAGCCAGGGTCCGGCTGGATGGCGCTGAAGCTCATGGCATCTGCAAGGCAAAGAACACGGCGCCAGGCCGTCCGAGCACATGCACTGATGCAGCTGTTGTAGCTGATGGCACTCGGCACGACGCCGAAAACTCGTACGCAGAGGAGCAGTTCATGTGCCAGTTGCCAGTTGCCCTTCTCGCAGGCATGCATTGCAGTGTTCAATGTAACCCTGTCGGCGACCCCCGTCGGAAGCATGCTGCTCAGCATCTGCAGAGTCCGTGGCCATAACTGTGCTCGAGCAACAGCGCCCAAAGCAGCGTTGAAGTGGTACACGTTCGTCTGAACATGGGCCGCCAGAAGAACTTGAAGTGTCAGGGAGGCGTCCATCCAGCCAGAGCTCAGAAAGCGGAGAGCTTTGCGCGGCTTCAGCCGCCATTCCGGCAGCTTGAGTGACAACTGCTCTGACTCTGATAATCTTGGTGGGGTGGACGACTGCACCGCACTGCACCTGCATGCCATGCAAGCTTGGGACAGGCATTCCTGGCCGCCACTTGCCGCAGGTCACATCTACAGCATGCCAACCCATGTCACCACAGGGAGGGTCGCATGTGCAACCGCATATCACTCTCTGACTTCACCGGAGAGGAAAGGATTGCAGGGGTGCGTTGCTGCGACGGCTTGTGTTACGTCAAACGTGCATTCCTGGAAGTGATGCTGGAGAAACTTGAGCCAACATTGATCTACGACAGATCAGGCAGGCAAACCACAGTGCGCGACTAGCCGACTAGCTGCCATTGACAGCCGATCAGTGGCTGCCAACAGATTCCCAGGTGCCTCTTGCCCGTGCACGCCGGAGGCATCCAAGCCTTTTGCGAAGAGCACTGAATATGTCTAACCAGGAACTCTTTGCTATGCAACAACTTCGTACCATGTGAGAGAGCTTGCTTGAATCAAAGTCTGGCCCACGATCCTCTGAACTCCACTACTTGCTTTTGGGCTTTGCCTGCTTCAAGTGCAGGGGGGGGCTCGTCACCCAAGGCCAGTCAAGCAGGGCCCTTGAGCCACGGCACCGAAGTGGTTCAGGTAGTACGGCACATCATCAGCCAGGTGGGCAGCCTTCGATTGTCTCTGCTCAAGTCTCATAGTGGTCCAATCTCACCGTCGCTCTTTAGTCATTGCCTGGATCTCCGCCGCGGCGGCATGCAGGCGTCGTGCCTCTGCTGCATGCGCCTGGCACAGCCAGTGCAGCCACCAACAGCATCGCTTACAAAGTAGATGCAGTTGGTGCCATGCGAACCACCTTGGATTAATACTCCACTCGAACCTCTTCTTTGGGATACCGGGCTGGATGGGCCACACAACAATTCATTCGATGGTCCGTTGTTCCACTCTGCCTGCCTGCGCCGCCTGACCAATCTGCATAAAAGTCTGGTACGCCTGACAACAACGGGATCGGAAAATCAGAGCCTGCTAAAGAGCGTGCAAGGGAGAAATGAGGCGTTCGTTGCCAGAAAATCTAGACAGATGGCCCAGACCTCAAAAAAGCTCGTGTCAATGCACAACCTTTGCAACACGTGCACGAAGTTTCTGTGAATCATTCCTGCTGCGTCAGCCTTGTCTTTCTGGAGTGCTGTCATCGACATGGCCGAAGCACCTCTGCCGCAAGCCGGCGAGTTGCCAAAGTTATGGAACCCCATCTTGACTTCACTGAAAGCCACCGCTTACTCCTTGTGGCTGGCACATTTATCGTCATGAGCTGTGCCACGACTCCTATCATTGCTACAACAGTCTAGCAGTCGAGACAGTTTCCGAGATAGTTTCCAGAAGACGGTGTCCCCCTTCATGACCGTCTCAAGCCCCTCAGACTTAGAGAAAAGAGCACGGATCCTAAACCCTAACCTTGAACCCTAGATCCCTTATAGTCGCTTCCATTTTATTTTCCATTATCCCACTATAACCCCCATATTCCCCCAATATACTGTAGTAGTTTAAGAAAAGAGCTACCTCGGAATGGCTGCCGGGGCTGGCGCTGCGTCGAACACCCGGGCGGACCTCTCCGGCAGCCAGCCTTGGTTCTGGATGCAGGGATAGGTGGGCACGGGGAATTAGGGGATTAGAGGGGGAGGATGTTTTGGGTCAGGCTTGTTGGGATGCCACGCTTGAGGCACAGCTGTAAGCTGTTGGCTACCTCTCATGGCATCGACTTATTCTTGCTGCAGCTGAGATGCGGCAATTCAAAGTGCCGCATTTCCTTCCAATTTGAGCAACAAGGCATGATATGTGCATCCATTTCACACATGTCAAAAGCCACCTGACATGTGCCGCAAAAGTCAATGTGTTCATTGCAAGCGAACCTAGCTCCCAAACCACCTACTAGCTCATCTGTGCTGAGGCTAGCGGAAGGTTGCACTAAACCCTAAACCCTTAACTTGTTCTCTACTTGGTAGAAACTGGTAACAAGCAACGGCATAGCTGATTTTTCCTGGAGGCTGGGCTCTGCTTGGATGGATGAAACTAGAAATGTCCTTGAAGGTTCAACACCTTTGTCCAGTGTGTGAACTCAGTTTGGAAGAGGCTTCGGGATTTTTTGCCTTCGTGCTGTGCCCACTCAGGCTCGCTGACTTTCAGACTGTAGGTCCTGAAAAGCCGGTGTCAGTATCTTCAGAGCAAAGGCCCTTGCTGCTGATCAGGGTGTGGCTTTTGTGAGCAAGGCTGCGCAGCCAATTTTGAACACCACCCGTGTTAGGGAAACCAGTATTAGCAATGCTTACCTTTCAGAAGGCGGATGATTGCAGCGCAATCAGAGGCAAGCAAGTGTACAAGTCTAGGCCTTCTCCCGCTCAATGTCGGGGAATGGCAATGGCCGGAGCTCCTTCCACAGATCTTGAAACCCCCTGCCCACGAGAGGACAAGCACCAAAAAGACGTACAGGCTTTCAACGATGGAGTGAAAGGATTGCACTTTGAAGTTCCTCCTGGCTGTGCGCGTATCGGCAGTCGGGATTGTCGCAGCCCCCAGTGGCGATCAAGGTCTTGCATAATTTGGTGCATGCCTGCAATAAGGCAGAAGATATGCAAGACTTACGGGCTTCTCGTTTGCAACTATATTGGGGTTGTATTGGGATAACGGAAAATAAAATGGAAACTGCTACATTATCATAGGGTGTGTATGTATATATAGAGGCAATATATATAGGGATTACTTCCAACAAATGGGGACCCCCTTATGTATTTCCAGGATCCAATGAGACCCTCATCTTGGAACCACCAGCTATTGCCATCTTCCCCGCACAGCGCTTTTACAGCTGACGCCCGCGCCAGATCAGGCAAGCACTGCAACTCCGACCTTAATAGAAATGGATGGTTGTCAAAATTGTGGTCCCCTTTTGGGTCCCTATTATAGTACGGCACCTAATATTTGGGGTACCCAAAAAGGGACCATCATTTTTACAACCACCCAAATACCAATAACAGAATGAGACAACGAAGAATAGTTATGACAGCAATTCTGGCGCTGAGGAATAATAAGAATAGTACGAACAGTATTCATTATAAGAGTGACAGCGACGGTAACAGTAATAGCAACAGCGTTAGCTATTGCCATACTGATGATAATGGTAATATGGTAATAGCGCAGGTAATCATACTACTAAGAAGAAAAATACTAGATAGAGGTGAAGTGCTGCTTCTTCATACGGGGTTTGTCACAAGTGAAGGACCACAGGGCCCAGGGATGCGTAGGGATTATAAGAGGACGGATGACAGGGACCCCATACCCAAGCTTGCATTCCGTAGCTGAGCTGGCTGACTGGGAGTGAGCAAAGCGGCAGCTGCTCCCCTTGGTGCAGGAGAGCTTGCTGAAACAAATGTCTTCTTTTCTGAGGCAGCGTGTTTCACTGCATACTCAATGGCATAGCACTATACGGTGATCTTAGTGATCGTATACAGCAATGTCTGTAAACACAGGCCTTGGTGCAGGCGCCCAAAATGTGGAATTTGCCTTGAGTCACGTCAATGGAGACTGAACTTTTGCAGGATACGACAGATGCGCAAATGTCTGGTCTCGCTGCGTGGCATGCATGTTGATTACAATTCTGCATCATCATGCCCGGCATGCCAAGAAAATGCCAGAAACGATGAGGAACTGGCACATCTTAGTCTTCTCAAAGACTTGAGTGCGCATGGATCGCTCCTCGCTCTCAACACGTGAGCATGCGCGAATCGTGTCCTGAAGCACTCTTCCATTCTGAGAGCTCATCTGCAGCTCATCGGTCAGCTTGATTAAAACCCTGTGTAATACTGGGATAATGGAAAAGAAAATGGAAACTACCGTAGTATATTGGGATTCTATTGGGAAATGGAAAAGAAAATGGATGCTACTAGTAGGGACTGAAGGAATCTTCAGGGAGCATCTGTGTCAGAGGAGCCCAAGCTGTCTGCAACTCTCTTGCGTGGAAGCACTGTTGCCTTATCCACTTGAGTAGCGGGTTTTTGGTGGTTAAACCCAGTAAGATTATATTCCGTATATGAAATACTATACCCCAAAATGAGGATATATTCTTACTCTATATTGCGTACCATAGTCTTCACGGATGGAGTACTACTCACTTGTGCTTGTCCTCGTCTTCAGGGCTCAAGGCCGAAGTGAGTCCCGGAGTGACCTACACATGGCAGCAGGCATTTCATGACGGCAGATGCATGACTTGAGCAACTATAACAACTGTGGGAGTATGACAAAAGCAACGGAACAATGGCATTTAAGATGAGACGCAGGACAAGCACAGTGGCATGAGTGACAACAAGCAGTCAAGACAGAAGTACCCATTCTCAATTACAACTTACAGGATTTACCAAGGGAAGGAAGGTAGGTGTGGATACGTTGTGGGAGAGTAGGGGCGATCAGGGCGTGGGGGAAGTACATCTGGAAATATTGCTGTTCCTATTGACACTGGGGTCAGTTCAGGGCCGCTATCAAATGCGCGGTCTGCCAAACAAGATGTCCCTTCACCTATTTCATAGATCCTGACCACCGCGTCAGCACAGTCCAGAAATGGGTTGCTGACAGTGACTGCCCACAAAGACCCATTGTTGTTGAAGGGTGGGAATTTGCCAAGAATGCCACTCAGCCTTACGATCCCGATGGTCGCCCTTGCACTTTTCCATAATCTGTACATCTCTTCCTTACACCCTGACTGAAGCCTCAAGCCCTAAACTCTACACAAGATCATCCCATGATCCCTGTAACCCCTCCACCAATACATGCTTAATGTGTTCCCGTTCCCCTACTCCACGCATGGGAACTTCTGACAGCTTAAAGGCCTGTGTGGCCGCGGCGGCGGCAGTGGCTCCGCTCCTGCATGTGACTGGAAAGGAGTCATCTTCCTACCGAAGCCAAACTGACGCCAAGCACAGGTCGATACATAGGGTTTCCGCAGAGGGCCTTTAGGGACCACAGGGATGTATGGAGATACAAAGGGATGATGGGGGCTTAGGGGTTATTATAGTGAAAAAGTTTGGTTAAGAAACGAGCAACTTCCCAATTTTTGGCATGTACTCCAAGATCCACGTGATGAATTCTACATGCATCCAAGAACAATGGGGGCGCGCGGTGTTGCAGTCCACCGCTGCGCGTGGTTTGACAGCACAAACACCTCGAAACGATAGTGGGTTATATAGGGAATATAGGGTACATATTGGGGTTATATTGGGATAATGGCAAATCGAATGGAAACCACTCCCTAATACAACCCCAACATAACCCCAATATAATCCCTATCTAACCCCTATATAATCCCTATATAACCCCTATATAATCCCTATATAATCCCTAAAGAAAGGGTTTAGGATCCATCCAACCATGAACGGAGCTCCTTCGTCTTCGGGGCATGTTCTTTTTTTTGCCTCAGCCAGATCTTGGAGGAGATGCGACCATGCGCCCTAAACTATAGTCCCCCTTAAGTAGATAGAATATGGCTTTGGGTATATTATAATAAGACCCCCATATACCCCATATTCTATCTACTTAAGGGGGACTATAAGCCCCAAAGAACCCCCAACCCTGAATCCCCAAACCCCAAATCCCTTCTCTATTGTTCAGTACTATATGACTATCATTCTTACTATTGTTATTGCAGTTATTACTATTTTTACTATTAAAATATATACCCCATGGAGTAAGGTGACGGATCCAAGAACTGAGGAGAGCTTGTGGAAGTGTTTTCAGGCGCCGGCCACGACTTGTGGGGTGTTGGCCCCGAGAGTTTGAGCCAAAGCCGAGACTGCAGTAAGCCATGATGTCAGTCAATAAAAATAATAACAATAGTACTAACAACCAGAGCAACAATAATATACAATAATAGTGATAATGATAATACTAATTAATAGTAATAGTAATACGTGATACTCATAATGACTATATGATAGTAATAACAACAAGAGTAACAATAATAGTGATAATAGTAATACTGATACGTAATACTCAAAATGACTATATGGGGGTTTCCCAAAAGTAGGGGTAGCGTTTTTTGGGGGGTCCCCATAGTGAGGACTATAGAATCTTAGGGGGAAAGTCCTGCACTCCGGTGGTAACATGCGCCAGTGGCCCGTATGGCGTCCTTTGATGTCTACCGAGCCCTCTCATACTGGTTCCATTCCCATCTGCAAGCTCATGAGGATGGTGGTGTGTTATAGTCCCCCTTAGGTAGATAGAATATGGGGTATATAGGGACCTTATCATAATATACCCAAAGCCATATTCTATCTACTTAAGGGGGACTATAACACCAAGAAAAGCTGCCAACGTTCTTCAGTTCTCTGGTTCTTTTGATGACTATATCTCTTCATCTCTTCAAAGTATTCGAGCCAACCTCGGGACCAGTTCTCTTAAACCTACCACAGCAAGTAAGGACAGCTGGGCACCTCTTTGAGACAAAGGTCTTCGATGTCTGCCTTGGTGAGCCATTGCACTTATCCAGCCACAGCAAGTGGAAGGAAAGTGGAGGAAATCAAATTGGTACCCAACCTCATGTTGAGGCCTCCTAGCTGCGGGATCGTTTACAGGAACTCTGAGGGCAGCCGCCATCTTCTCGGCGTAAAGCTTCCCCGAGCCTCTCCAGCGGACGTTGAGTCCGCGAGCAGCCCTGACTCCAAGCGCTGTTCCACAAATCCGATCATGGATTGGGCAGTTGTGTCGGGGTTTCGGAATCGCAGTATTGCGCTAGATGACGCAGCTGCTATTGACCTGCCTCTCGAACTCTTCTGACTTGTACATGTCCTGCAAGTCACCGAGCATGGCCTGGGCAGCCTGTGGCAGTGTACTCAGAGACTTCAGCTAGCCGCATAGGCTCCCGCAAGACAGGTCAAACAACCGTGACCACGTGAGACCCCAAGCCCATGATTGATAACACTTCAAAGCCCGCAAGCTACGCACCTCAGCATTGAACACAGCACGAAGAGTTCGCCGCCAGCGCCTGGTGGCTGCCTGGCATATGGCCAACAAACTTCCCGCAACTACGAGTACTGTAAAAAATCTTGCGGTGATGCGATCTCTTGCGAGGCCACCAACAGGCCGGCAGAGGCATCAATGTCTCGATTGCAGGGACTTCGCGCCTCCTTTGGGTCCTTTTCCTGCTGTGGCGCGGGTTCAGCTTCTGCCTGGTGACCAGACGACAATTGTTTTACGAAATATGGCCCTATGCTGACGCAACACTGCCCTGATTGCTGCTATCACTCTTCTCAGCATTTCAGCTGCCATCACTCTTAGTGTGAAGTGTCTGAGCCAAGTGCCAGCCTTAGCTGAACTGAACCCGCCACGCTTTGCACGAGCTTCCTTTCATGCCATGAATTCCAACACCAGCTCTCTCAAAAGGACAGGATTCTTTAGCCTGAGCTGTGCCAACGCTTTAGCAGGGCAGTTGACCCCTCACGTCCTTCGCTGACTCTGCAGCAAACTCCTCCTTCTTGATCACCTCATGGTAGATCCAAACAAATCGCGCACAAGAGTACCCTGTAGCACTGTAGCAGCTCTGCTTACTTCTGATCACCTCGCATCGCTATGTCTAATATAGCGAGAGCCTCGGCAAGTACCCCGCGAAGGAGCTGCAAAAGCTCCAAAGGCTCAGTGTAGCGCAGCCTCAGACTCGAAAACATGGCCTCTCTCTTCTCGTACAAGCATTCTGACATGGACAGAGCCGGGGCGCCCTTCCAGCAAGCAGCCAGTGGCGGCTTCATAATCCTCAGACGTCGAGAGCCAAAATCTGTCAATTCCTAGCGCTAGCCTGCAGGCTATCAGCATAAGAAATGGCTCGAGCACATGCCAAGCAGGACGGCCTTCTTCGGTCCACTGTACAAGGTCTGTACCCGAGTCTCTCGAGAGGCCATGTGTAAGAGGCCTCCGCAGGCTCCGCCAGCCTAGAAATGATCGACATGCTGCCGAACCTCTCCAAGGGGGTTTCCCATACTTAGGGGTACCATTTTGGGGGTCCCCCAAAAGAAAGGATTATAGACTACTGGGGTCCATAACCCCCCCGAACCCTAATTCCCGCTAAACCCTAAACCCCAGACTTCAAACCCTGAACCCTA